ACTACAGGAGTTTACAACTTCATCGGCAGTATCTGTACTACTGGGCATTTTGCGCAAGCAGTTGATAACAATAACAATCAATAACAAGGTATAACAATAACAACGACAAACTCAACAACTTAATAAGATAACAAACGAAAACGTCCAAAGAAATATCAAATTGCAATGATGCACACGACATACGTAACACGTCTGAACCTGAATGTGACTCTGCCTTGATACGACTGCTCTGCCGCTCGGCATAGGCATTTAATTGCGAATTGACCAATGAGGGCTCCTGTTTTACGTCGAGACGGCGGCGTTAGCGTGAAAATCACCCGAACCTTTTGTTTACATCCGGTCTATCTCTTATCTGAATATACTGTATAAAGTATTATGTTCAGCACAAGTAAGAACCTCTGACAAAAAAGTTAGTTAGGAACATTTACACCAGACAAATTAAACGGTTCCAGTCAGTAAAACAGGTCCATACAATTAGTCCATAGACATTATTTCCCTGCCTTACCAGCATTACCGTCTCATTAACGTCATCCTCTCGCAGGGCGGCAGTAAGGGAAGGAGCTTCATAGGGACAGGCACGCCCGCCGGTGTACCGAGAGAGCAAAATCAGAGACGCACGTATCGAAAATATTGATCTATTCTAAGATTTAAGGGCAAATGAACGGGGAAATCTATGATGTGTGAAAAATATCTAATAGGTGCCTAGAATTACCCAGATTCGGAGCATATAAATAAATATACATACTAGCATAAAAAAATTAATATATACCTCCTTTTTTACCCCAACAAAAAGGATTTCTGAAAATGATCAGAAGCTTCTGAAACGCCAAAAAACGAACTTTCAGCTATTTTTACTTTTCGTATTTTTGTCCCTAGCTCCGTCGCCACTTGATCCCTTTTTTGTGCTTGGCAGTAACCTTGAGTGAAAATGTTAACAAAATTCGAGTGGTACTTCCCATGTTATAGACGGGCCAAGGATTAGCGGACAGACAGACCAACAGACAGAAATGAGTGACAAGATCTCATAGACATTTTTCGCGATCACTATACTTCCACGGCACTTGCGTAGGTAGTAAAATGGACAAAAAGCTATTAGGTGTTGGAGCATCTCATGAATTTCATGTTTCCTATAATTTCGCGTGACTTTGAGTATCATTTTTGTAATGCTCAAACGAATTTTCAAGAAATTATGCGTGTTAAGTATATTCGTACGACTTTTTCCTGCGTCCAATTTGGAAAAAAACGTCTTACTGCTTTGTCCAAGGAAGGTGTGATTACAATTTTATAAGCTTATCCCATAAAAATGTGAGTATTGAACAGACACAGTTTGAGGATTTGAGACCAAATTTTTCATAAAAATTGCGACATTAGAAAATTCTCTCAAGAATTTGGATTGGAGATACATTAAATACCTGGACCTCTATTCTTGAGTTTGAGGAAGTAGAAATTGTGAGAGAAAGTGGTAAAAAGTGTGTGTGTGTGTGAAATGAATTCACTTTAGGGAGTCGCGATTTCTCTTGGTACCGACCAAGAGAAACTGAAAAAATTAGTAGAAAATAGCGCTCTATTTGACGTGTTTGGCATTGTCATGGTCCTTCCTGCTAAACATATTGCAAAAGATGGTTAATTTCAATCAATAATAACGATTATAACGATATTATTAACAAGGATGTAGAGGAGGCAGTTGAAGAATGGGAGATTGGGAGAGTTATTCTAGGGCACCGAGATCCTTTCATAATTTCGGATCGAACATTTTTGCAGATGTTTAGGTTGACCAAAGTTTTGGTATATGAATTGCTGGAGATACTGACTCGATTCATACAACCACCCCCACGAGCTTCTGTACTTTCGATCAAAACAAAGGCAAGAGTAGATATTAAGTTTTGGTCATTCTAAAACAGTATCCTTTAATCTATGATTGAATTTTCCCTGGTGCATTTGGAGATGCTCTCTGAGCAACTCAATCATTTTGTCAATTTGTAATTTGCTTTTTTAAGTTTTCGGCTCCACGTTTACTCAAATCTGGCATCCCTGGGTCTTGATTTCCTTTCTCCTTTCTATCGAGTCCTTTCAAGAATAGAGTATTTTCGAATAGATAGAAAGCCGGGGAGTAGAAAAAGAGAGGGAGTGTGATTTTCTATTAAAGTCAAGAATAGGGGCACTGGTCATGAAAAAAAATATATGTATCTCGCCAAAATGCATTTTAGGTTTCAATATTTACAAGAATTTTACTTGTCATTTATAAATAAACTTCCTGTCCTGGAAATATTTGGGTTACTCCATGTGACAAATAATTAATTCATCTGCACTCCAATTCTTTAAAATTATCGGACTTCTCTCATTTATAAGACAAATTCCCTAAGCTCTGGAATAACTTCGAATGCAGATACCAATAAATATCTCATCACACAAAATACTTAACAATATTAGAACCTTGTTTATATGACTTGGTCGATCATAAATAATAGCGACAGATATGGAAAATACTCGGATACACGGTGTTCACACTACATTCATATCTTTATAGAGTGCAATATAATTGTAAGATGATAAAGGCAATAAAACAAATATTTACGTCGATACGTTTACATAACGATCAAAGAGCGGCACGGCACCTCTTATCTAAACGTGGAAGTACACACGTATCTCCTGAAAGTTTGTTCACGAACATCAGAGCGGTACTCTTTGATGAACTATACAACTGTATAAAAAGAAATAATACCAATATGCGAAATTTGAAGGAAAATAGTAGTAAAACACTAAAGGTAACTTTTATTACAAAACAGACCCTGCAGAAACCTTATGGGGATGCCTTTGGCTATTTTTCTTTTAATTTAGTAGCTATGTTATTAATCTCAAAACGTAGAACAAACGTATCCCTGGACTCAAAGTTTTTTGTATTGTAGGTTCGACGGAACATATGTCATAGCTATTATATTTACATTTACAAGCTTTGAGGATGTGCGGCCTAATTCCTCTCTAGCGTTTCAGATCCCTTTTTGAGCGGAATTCAGTATACGGTTGGCTATCTTCAGGTAGAACACGTTAGTCCATGCTAAAATCAATTCTGTATTAATGTTTACAGGGAGCTTCCCAGACTTCATTTTATGTTGCTATCTGCTTATTTATTTTGAGGTGTATACGCTATATGCTCTGGTTCAGAGTTTGTTGGCTTTTTCTATTTCGGTTCGATGCGGCATAAACATTTACCTTAAGAATTAGTTGACGCCTGAAGACCTACTGAATGACATTCATCAAAAGAATTTCTAATTGCTGGATTACAGTAACGTAGACAATTAACTAGGCTAAATTAGTGTCTTCCAGACTCCATCGCAAAAGATAACTTGTCGCTCTAGAATAGTAAAGCAGCAAGAAGGCCCACTACTGGTTCAACATTCCAGATATCGTCACAATATTCTTACCATATTATTCCTATCAATACAGGGAACTATAAAAAGCTGCGGTTGCAGAACAAAACTCAAACAGATATTAAGGCATATCTAGTCAATAATTAATAAAAGGATGTGGTAAGTTCTATACTTGCAAACGATTTTTTACTTTTTCTTGCTGTTTATAAAAGAAGATCCTTGCGTTTCTCATTATTAACTGATCAATTTTGAAATTACCCTACCTAAACGTTAGTAGTGAAAAGAGACTATGTATGTCATGTCAGATTGATGGGCCCCTTATCCAATCATACGAGCTTAAACTGATTACTATTAAATATTATAATGCCAAAAGTTCATAGTGTCGTAGCTTTGTTTAGAAAAAATATTTTTTCAAATACATACTTTTGAATCTCTCTTGAATAGAGGTAATTAGGAATTTCTTATGCAAGGCTTATCTTAAAACTGGGACTTAGTCTTTAAGTGAAAACTGCCCTTCCCTCTCAAATACCGTCAATTCAAAAGGCTTCCTGCACTAGGCGGGTAGAAACCTTTATGTATAAGAGCGTGATACGGGTGCTCTTGTTGCTTGACATCCACAAAGCTATTAGTCCAGACGTGATTCCTTCTGTTGTAGTTAAGAGATGTGCAAGCGGAGCTTGCTTCAGTTCTTTCCCGTATCTTCCAGATATCTTACGACTCCGGCACTTCACCACAAAATTGAAGGTTGATCATACCCAGCCCATCCCATAAAAGGATCTAAGACCGATTCTTACAACTAGGTGATGCATAAATCGGGAGCTTGTGGAGTACCTCGACTGTCACGGAATGATTAGCGGAACGCAGTGTGGTTTCCAGCACCAGCGATCAGCGGGGACCTCGTTGCTCTTGATATCAGGAAAGCGTTCGATTAGCTGTGGCATGCTGCCCTCGTTTGAAAACTTCAATTCTATGGCCTCCCAGAGAAGCTTTGTATATGGGTGACTGACTTCCTGGCCGCAAGATGTCCATCGTAACTGACGGGTATTTCTCTTCATCCCACAGTTTCAACGCCTGTGTTCTCTAGTATCAGTCTTGGCTCCGACATTGTTTCTCTTACATATCAACGAACTGCTTCCCTGTACGATCAATAAAATCCACAGCTTTGCAGATGACAGCAGCCTACATACAGGGATTCAAAGTGCCAAGAAAAGAATACTAATTGTGACTTCCTCTCTGATAAGAGATTGGAGGTTATCACTAGCAGTTTAGTGCTTCCAAAATACAATGCTGAAATACTGTACCTCGATGACTAACAAGAACCGCGTAAGCGCTCATCCGGTTTCGATGAATAGCTGAGCGCTGCCGAAAAACCGTTCATTTCGACTGGTTGGAGTCCAGTTCATTGAGGACTTGATCTGGCACGAACACAGTCTGAGAGGCTAAGAATATTTGCGTCTGGCTGAAGAGACTCCATTATGAATCCCCACTATTCTGCTCGAATCAATTTTTTAATCAATCCCCTGCGGCTTAGACGTTCTGTGACCGGAGTGCAGCGTTCGGTTATCATTTTAAGTATATACTATCGGAGCTCGTTACATTTGATGGGAATAAAATATCTATCTATAAGAGCAGCCGGCAGTTCTCGGTAGGGACGGTGTACAGTCATTGGCAGAGATCCAAATATCGACTCCAGACTCCAGCATCGAGACAGTTGATTGGGTCTAATGGGAGCACTGAGAACCAGACTACCGTGAAATCCAGATGCGAAGGAATTTGTTGAGAAGTTGAAGGAAGGAAGGTGAAGAAAAATTCCGTCACGATATCCGACGTTCGAAATTTTTGTATCGAACTTTAAGATTGACAACGATCTTGACGATGGATATGTTACATTATTTATTCACATTACTCAATAAAAAGAATCGTGAACAAAATCTGACTATGCTTTTCTATGTAATTTAAGCAGGTACCTGATCTTGACCTTCAGGTCTGTTTGAGTCTAGCCGTCGCGAGTATACACTTGTGCGACTGCGACCCACCCGGACTTACAGTGCGATCTTATTGTGATTTTCATCACGATACGATCGCTATCCACGATGGCGAGAATAGAAAAGGCGAAGAGGAAGGCGAAGAAGACAGAAGAAGAAGAAGGTGAGGACCAGGGAGACGAGGACCAGCAGCCTACGGGAAACAGGGACATGGATGCCCAAGAAATAGAAGAAGAAGCCGAGAAGAGGACCGATGACGCAGACTTCAGTCTCGTCACCAAGAGGAGAAAACGAGTGAGAGTTTCCTCCTCCTCCTCCTCCGAAGAATCATCCAGGCAGCCAAAGATGCCAGCTGCCACCAAGAAGAGAGGTCCTAGAGCAACCAGGACCACCGAGGCCCCTATGGCAGGAACAGGAGTTCCTCCAATCAATATCGAGGGCACCGCTGACTGGTCATCCTTAAGCAAGATGATAAACAACAAGGGGATCCAATTCTCCAAGGCGAAGACGGCGGGTAACAGTGTGAAGGTGTTCACAAACACACCAGCTAATTACCGTCAGCTAGTCGCACTGCTGGACTCCATCAAGCGGCCCTTCTTCCCCTATCAACTGAAGGAGGACAGGATGGACCAGAGGGTCATTCGTGGACTACCCAGGGAGATGTCAGTCAATGACATCAAAGAGGATCTAGTGAGCCAAGGTATCGCAGACGCCGAGGTTCAGCAGATGACCTCAAGGACCACCAAGAAGCCACTTCCGCTCTTCCTCGTCAAGACGAAGATGCCGGAAAAACTTCCAGAGATCCAGAGGCTGGACATGCTCACGGTCAGCTTCGAGAGAAAGAAAAAGACCACCGAGCCCAGCCAATGTTACCGCTGCCAGCGGTACGGACACACGCAACGAAACTGCCGTCTCGCTGAACGGTGCGTAAAGTGTGGTGAGGACCACAGCAGCACCAACGGCAGTCTGCCGACGCCGCCAACAGGGCAACGAAACGCCAAATGCTGCCTTTGCGGAGAAGGACACCCGGCAAACTACAAAGGATGTAGTAAGGCTCCGAGGAAAGCTGCTGCTGCCCCCAAAGCAGTCTCCACCTCCAATAAGACCTCTTACGCAGAAAAAGCGAAGAAAACCATGTCCACTTCTGCCCCAGCAGCCGCCACTGCTACTGGCACTACTGCGCAGAAGCAACACGGCGATGACAGACTGCTAGCTATGATGCAAGCCATCATAACCCGCCTGGATGCACTCGAGGCCAAGATGCAAGACAAGCACTAGACCCGAAATGACTACAGGGCAAAACGTAGAATCTCTACGCATTATCTCCTGGAACATCAACGGATTCAGGGCACGGAAACCAGAAATCTAGGAGATACTAGACCAGTACCAACCAGAGGTGATGGCCATCCAAGAAACGAAATTGGATGCTGCCCATAGTCTGACGTTCCCGCGGTACGAGACGTACCGCTACGACAGAAGAGGCAGAGGTGGAGGAGTCGCATTACTCGTCAAACGTACCTTGACGAGTCATGTCATCGACGATGCCGCAGACATCAATGGGGACGGAATCACGATCCAGGTCCATCACAACCACCGTCCGTAGAGAATCACCTCCCTATATGTGCCACCAGGGGAGGCCCTAGACGAAGATGACATCAGCTCTGAAGAACGCGCTCGCGGAACTCCAAAACAGCAGATGGAATGCAGCCTGTGCAGAACTAGAGACCCAGAATGGTACGGCCTGGACTATGCAGCGAAAATTTCGCCGTCAGCGTACCACGATCCCCACTCTTCACGGCCAACGCGGCTTGGCCTACTCCAGTGAAGAAAAAGCCGAAGCATTCGCCGATTCGCTAGAATCCGAATGCAGACTCAATTACCATGAAGACGAGGACGACAACCACGAGGAGGCCGTGGAAGTCGCAGCCGGAATCATGAGGAGTCGACCACCTGGCCAGGAGACGGATCACCCCTCCAGTCCAGAGGAAATCCGTCTGATCATTCGCAGGTTGAAGGTCAGAAAGGCACCGGGAAGGGACGGCATCAACAACAGGATGCTGAAGAACCTTCCCTCCAAAGGCATTGCTGCGCTTACCAACATCGCCAATGCCACTCTGAGACTTAACCACTTCCCGCGGCGGTGGCGGGAAGCCCAGGTTATAATGCTCACCAAGCCAGGCATGGACCGGAAGTTGCCCCAGAACTACCGGCCCATCAGCCTGGTTTCCTCGATGGGCAAAGTAGTCGAAAAGGCTATCGCCGTTCGACTAGAGAAGCAGGCAGAAGAACTGCAACTTCTCCCCCCAGAGCAATTCGGCTTCAGATCCTCCCACAACACGGAACTCCAAGCGCTACGACTGACAGAAAACATCACCAGCGGCTTCAATCTCCAGGAGGCAACCGGCCTCGTCCTGCTGGACGTGGAACGAGCTTTCGATCGAGTTTGGCACGATGGACTCATCGCCAAAATTTAAGCCGCCGGAATCGATGCAACCATGTGCCAACTGATCCAGAGCTATCTAACACAAAGATGGTTCACAGTGAAGATTGGTACATGCCACTCAACAATACGACAGCTGGAAGCAGGCGTGCCCCAGGGGTCAGCCTTAGCCCCCCTGCTCTACAACATCTATACTCGCGATGTACCGAAGACAGCTGACACAATGCTGGCCCTATATGCAGACGACACTGCTATAGCCGCCAAGCATCGACGACCCGAGATCATCCGTAGGAGACTACAGGATGAACTGGACCACATCCAGGACTGGTGCGTGAAATGGAAAATCCGCATCAACGTCCAGACGACGCAGGCAATCTTCATTCAACGAAGAAGGATTGCAAGACCTCTCGAAGCATCCATCTTCGACGAAGATATCCAGTGGAGCGACAAAGTCAAATATCTGGGGATCGTATTTGACGAGTCCCTCACCTGGAAAGCCCACATAGAAGCTGTCATCGCAAAGACCAGAGCAGCCATGGCTCAACTCTACCCTTTACTGGGTAGACACAGCCGGATGCCGCTAGCGACCAAGCTACGGCTGATCAAGGCCATCGCCAGACCTCAGCTCGCTTACGCCTCCGCGGTCTGGGGGTACGCTGCCCCCAGCTACCGCAAGCGACTTGCTGCTCTAGGGATGAAGCTACTCCGGATCGCCACCAGTGCACCATCCTACGTAAGAAACTCAACCTGCATTGGGACACCATTCACGAGTACATAAGGAAAAAAGCGGAGAAGACCTTCCAGAAAGCTCAGCACCACCCGAACGAGCAGCTACGATTCCTCATGGACTACGATCCGGACGAGAGGCCTCGTAACCGCAGAACCAGGTATCCTAGACCAAGGTCCCAGTTGGCACCTGCTAACTGGAACCTTGACTAGGAGAACCCGCGGTTGCTCCCTCCCCCCACGGCGTGGATGCAGAGGACCAGGAACCACCGGGACCAGGACCCTCCGGGACCAGGCCCCTCCGGAACCAGGACCAACCAGGACCAGGACCCGCCACGACCAGGACCCACCAGGACCAGGACCCTTCAGGACCAGGACCCTTCAGGACCAGGACCAGGAACAATATATAGGTAAGAGGACTTGAAACTATTGATTTTTCGAAACCAAGAGTTTCAAGAGAACCTAGCAGACCCTCTATCGATGATCGCTTAATGACATCGATAGAATGTGCGAGGTAAAGGGAACCAACCCGGCGTTCCCAGAGACTGAAACACATGAGGAGACGTTGTAGCAGACCGCAGGTCACGCACAACACATGGCCTACCGAGACGCTGCTGAGTCGGGCCACGCGGAGGTTAGGGTTTAGTGGGTATTAGGTGGTCTCCTCAAGACAACCTGGAGTCCCACACACGCCGTAGCTCGGGCTATGGTATGGTGCGTAAAAAAAAAGTCTGAAAAAATGGCGTCCAGTGGGTTGACTCCACACAATTCTATCAGCTAGTATGACTATGTTCGTTTTATATAACATACTATAATAAATTCTCAAAAATTCTATTAAGACAATTGCATTTAAGATATATAGTCAACCCACCTGATTTTTGACAAATATTAAAATTTTCAAATTTTTTATTCTGTTGATATAAGATGGCGTAATAAACATGTTGTAGAAAGAGCTGATAAAACGATTGCGTTTAATTAAACCAATTAAACTTGTTAGCGGTCACATGGTTGATTAAATTTTCTGATTGTCCTAACTAAAATTTTTATTGGTTTGATTAATCTTGTTACTGTATCGATTTTCTAGTTCTCCATAGCATCTTCGTCTTCGCATAGCATAATAATAATCTCGCGCCAAAATTTCATCTAAATCCAAATAGTCCTTTTCTAGTTAAAGAAGATTCTTGAATGAGTGACATGGTGTATGATGGCGGCACGTGGAACATAACTACATGTTATTTCCGAGCAGCAAGAAAAAGTAATACCACTAAACGGAGTAATGTGTCCGATGAATAAATCATGAAAGAAATATCCAATCCAACTACATATTAGACATTAGATAAACAGTCTCATACCTAGCACCTCGCATCTGTCATGTTATAACCCGCGAAAGAGAAACAAAATAAATCATAGGAGGTTTCGTGAAGGGGTTCTTACAGCAACACCACGCCACGGCAGCTAAGCCGAGTTTTATGGTTGTAAACAAGCAAACAGCGGGAAATCGTTCGTCGAGGCTGAAATATGTCTCGTTAGCATTGTCTGTGACTGCTACCAGTAGTCCAATGTGCTCGGGATGT